ATATATATACATATATATATATAAATAAAATGATTTTATGTAGAAGAGAAAATCTCTTGGAGGATGAAACAAGGCATGAGAAGAAACTGCTCATAGGTTATAAAGGTCCCACCACCAAAACCATTTAATCTGGAAAGAACAATCGACGTTTTCCAAGGTAGTTTTGACCTCTTCTGTTTGTGCTTATAAAAGTGTGAAACCAGACATCAAGGAAGCAGGAAATCCCCTGGACATCTCGCTCTTTCTCTGGTATCACAAAGACTCCCACTAATTATGACTAGTGCTGGGTAGTGATACCAAGATAGCTAAAAATGGGGATCCACTTAAAACTGGAGCCAGCAGGCGACATATGGTCAAGACACTGGACTCCCACGTGGCCAACTGTGGTTCAAGTCTCATATCTGGCAGCTTAAAAATCACACTGGGCATATGTGCTTGCTTGCCCATGATCCTGAGAAGAGAATGGAGGAGGAGAAGGGAATGCAGCATGACCATCCCCCCTGGGAGTGATTTCTCACTTTCCTTCTCATTGAAACTATCCATCTCTCTCTCCCTCCTGGTGAGCATACATGCACTATGGCAAAGACCTTAAAAAAGGGAGAAAAAAAAAGCTGGGACAATATTGGCCCTCACTACTAAGTCACAATACTTAGGTTAACAAGATCCTTAGACGAGTCCACTGAGTCATGGCACATCTTAGAGAAATTCTCACCTTTCTCTTTACAATGAAAATGTTCCAATTTCTCAGAAGATAATATCAGGGTCTCTGGGAATCATTAATTCAAGGTCCTCTACCACAGTCTTCTATAATTAATTATATTGATTAGCATGACTTCAGCCCAATTCACTGAGGTTCCTAATGGAATTTTCAATCTTCCAACTGTAAGAAAGATACTTTTTTATTAATCAACCCAGCCCTTAATATTTAAGGCTCCATCAACTCCTCTTATCCAAAAGAGATAAGCAGAATGCATTGCACTTGCCTCTCAGTTTCCAGCTTTGCAGCTCTCTTTATTATTCTGTGCTTTTCCTTCTTCAAAAGCAATTAGCTCCTTTCAAAAGTGCAGCCCCCAACCTCACGTAGACCCAAATCACTGGTGACAAGGGCCTTTGGCAAGATCTTTCCTTGATCACAGCATTTGGCCAGCTGCTAATGCTTTGCGTTCCTAATCTAGTTCTGGGCCATTCTCCCATGTTTCAACAGCATTTGGGAGCGTCTTCTTAACTATTCATGGGTAAGAGAAGAAGAAAAAGAGGAGGCCAAAATGAAAAGGAAGGGCATTAGGGAGAAAAAAGAAGGGAAGAAGGAAAAGCATTTTTAGTAACTTATGTTCACAGTGCTTTCTATACATTTTCATTAAGCACATAGTGTTGTCCTTACAATCCTACAAATGAATAGAGATTCAGAAAAGCTAAGTAGCTTATCCTAGCAAGGTCACACAAGCTAAGAGCTGGGATAACAAGAATTAGACCTCCAGCGTGGCCACTACAAAGACCAAGTTCTTGGTACCAGCCAAATTACTTCTCCTAATTCTCTCTTCTGCCCCAACCACATACCAACAGATCATTTCTGAGCATCTACTATGTGTTTGTCAAGTTGCAGCCATAGGAAAGAAAACAGAAATACCATCTTACCCTTGGGTTTTCCTGATCTAGTTGTGGAGGTTGACTACAGTATATATATTATATACTACAGTGCAGTAATCCTTTGCTATGCATTGAGTCTATCTCCCTTTTGATGTATTCATGAGGACACACAAGTGTCACAGGAACAGGGAGGAGGCACCTTATAGGCCTCCCTTCCACAAAGATGATCCAATCACCACTATATGTTAGGCAGTGCTAGCCACTGGGGAAACCGTCAAGAACAAAAGAAATACAACTTTTGTTCTCAGGAACTGAGAGCTTGATGGGAAAGACAGAAAATAAGCAAACACTTACAGGTTCCGTGTTAAAGAAAAATACCTGGTGCTGTCAAGTATAGAGCAAAGATCTGTCCTGATCAGAGAATGAGTTTGGGGCAGTCAGAGTAATTTCCCTGAGAAAGTGATGTTTAACAGACTTGAAACAGGAAAGGAATTAGCCAAGGAAAGAGAGTTACCAGCACAGGATGCACTAGTATTAGAGACCCAAAGACTCTGGCCCAGAAATAGGAAGGTGGCTAGGAAGACAGGGACACAGAAAGATGGAGGGAAATGGGTAGCATGTGAGAATTAGAGACTCCAAGTGGGATTTCAAGTAGCCTACAACATTTGAGTAAAATTTAAATTGTCTTACAGCATCACGTTACAAATTGAAAAAAGCCTCATATCCCTTGCTCCTCCCCTCTGCCTGAGTAAATGGGCTGGAATCTGAGTCCTTAAATGATATTAAGGACAACCAGAGTCTTTATTATTCACCACCTTGCTCACAAAGGAAAATAATTCCTATCCTCTCCCACCCACAGGAAGAGCCACTGACCTTTCAAAATTATATGTGGCTGTGCTAACATGGGGTGTGTTTAGGCAACAGCAGTTGAAGACTTGCACATTTCCCTGGAATTAATGAGCAGCTTAGAGACTTGATATCTGCAAGGAGAGCATCCTCCCCGGCAGGTGGTCACTCGGGTTCTTCATGGGCGTGCCCAGATGAGGTCATTACCAAGGTCTGAGCTTTTATTAGGATGTGCTATGACACGCAGGGACTGCTTTTCTTAGAAGAGCACGTGTCTGAGAGATTAGGCTATAATCACTGCTGGAGAAATCAGTCTCTAAAGAGCCGATACGGGGGGCTCTGAAGTTGAACTTGTCACCCTTTTCTTCCTGAATATCAGTACTGAAAACAACTGTAAGAATGAACCATAAGAATGGTTGGAAGGAAGACAAGGGAGAACCACATTTCCCAAAAGCAATGCGAGGAACAATACCTACTTATGACTGCTTAGCTGCAGGGGGAAGAAAGAACCATACATTTACAAGGTCATCCATTCTGCCACTAAGTCACAGAAAATTGTTATCTTATGCAAGTCAATGGTAAATTGTCAATTATTCTATAAAGGATAAACTAGATCAGTACGGTTCAACTTTGATTACATTTTAGGATGACCTAGAGAGTTTATAAAACTCCCGATGTCCAGGCCACACACCACACCTAATAAGTTAACATCTCTAGAGGTAGAATACTGGCATGAGGTTTTATTTTTTTTCCCTTCAAAAAATTTTCTGGGTGACTACAATATGCAACCAAGTTATGATCTAGTGATCTAGTTGATATGTTGCTTTCCACTCTGAGAGTTTTATCCTATTCATGTCTTCTCCTAAGATTTCATAAATGTCTTAAAAAGGAAGCCAATAAAAAGGCAGTACCCCCTCGTGATAGGAGTATAGCGGCATCGACCTCTTAGAACACCTCAGCTTCTTTGAAAACCAATTTTAATAATGTGGCCTTCTAGGTTTTCTTTCATGTGCCTGGATAAGTTATCTCAGACTATGATAAGCACCAAAACTGACTGTGCCATCATTCTTATTAAGATCAATTCAGGAAGTATCACAAAGTTTAATGGAAAATTATGGGACTGTGTGAGCCTTTTGAGGAACAAAGTCTAAGGTGATTTGTGTGGATGTTAAAATTTTATTTTAGTTAAATGGATGTGGTAAGAAAAAGTCACCAAGGATAGATAATCCAAGCTCATCGAAAAAAAGGTTCTATATTTCCTACACATAGAAACAGAGTGGTATTTTCTTTTCGACATTTCTTTTTAGGTGAGAATAAGTAACCATTAATTCCTCATGTTTTCATTTCACATTTCCCCCTGTGTAACATTGAGGTGGTATTTATTTGGCCTTTGACTTAGAAAAATGCAATCCAGATCACACTTCCTCTTCAGTGGAGGACAGCCAAGGGAGAATGTAAATAAATCAAGTCCCAGAGCTTGAGGAGGAAACAGAACCAGTGTAGGTGGAACATCATATGGGGAAAATCTGTCTTAATCATGGGTTTTAAAAGAACATTTTAAAACATTGTCAGAATTGCCAGTCACAAAAAGATAGCAAAAAAAGAAAAAAAAAAAAAAAAAAAGGCCAAAATTTTCCTTTTTACCTTTGTCAACAAAAAAAAAAAAAAAAGGCCAAAATTGTCCTGTTTACATTTGTCAAACACAGTGGGTTGATTGATTTCTCTGTTCACTAGAATCATGGCAATATTCAAGGGATAAAGCCAGACTTTTTGAGAGGGATCCTAGGTTGACTTTTCTTAGACAAATTCAAGAATACCTAAGCATCCAATTCATGCCAGACACTTTGAGAGATTAGCTGAGAGTTGAGAAAACAGGACCTTGCCCTCTTCCAAACAGTTGACTCTCCCTTTTATTAGTTTTTGTTTTGTTTTTTGTTTTCTGTTTTGTTTTGTTTTTGTTTTTGTTTTGCCATAAAGCACATGCACTTACTGGAGAGAGACAGAGAAGGAAATTGAGAAATCACTCCCACGGGAATGGCCATACTACAATCCCTTTTCCATTCTCGTCCTGGGATTTGGAGCATACATTCACACACATCACAGGTGATTTTTAAGCTGCCAGGTCCAGGACTTGAGCTGTGGTCTGCCATTTGCAGAAGTCCAGTGCCTCAACCACTACACCACCTGCTGGCCTCCAAACAACTGACTTTCTTAAAGAAAACATAGCGTACATACCTGAGACAGAACCATTGTAAGAGAATGTATAATGCCTCAGTACCAGAGGAGAGGAGCTATTACTTTCAAGAGGCTGGTATTGTCTAGGAAGTCTCTAAGAAGATAAAAACAGAATAAGACTTGAAGAATGGATAGGGTTGGTCTTAGAGAAATAAACCTCCAAAACTATAAATAATTCTCCTTTGTGATAATTCCCACCAAGAAACCAGACTCCACCTCAAAAATTTTATGATTGTTTCTTAGTGGAAAGTGAGAGGTAAACAGGAAGATACAAAGGTCTGGATTTCATGGCAACGTTTCTTTCTCCAAAGGAACTCTGAACAGAACCCTTCATCTTTGCTAATAGAGTACGGTTCTAAACTTAGTTTGTGGTCTTAAATATCCCACTTAACTCTTCTGATTTTGGCATTATCCTCGGAGTTCTTTTCCGATCTAGAGTACCAACACTGTAGAAATCACAAGCCTAGTAGCACTAATCTGATGTGTCACTCTAGAAGTACAGGTTACATGTACTCATGGAAAAAGTTGACACAGGAAATGATCTTTGGAATGCATTGTCATTTTCCTGAGCGCATGCTCCTTTCCAATTACATTTTACATATTGAATTATTCAAATGAGTTCTACAAACCCTTTAACATGCTACTAGAGGTAGGATAGCATTTTTGCTAAAGTAAATCAGTAAGTTTTCATTTTAACCCAGTGCACTCACAATTTCTGTGAGCATTTCAAAATATTTTTCATGCAGTAGCACCATTTTTGCTAATAAAAATCTGTAGACACATAGTCACATTTTAGAGACTTAAAGATTTAAAAGGTCTAGAAAAATGAAAAAGATATAGGGTCACACAGTTGGTATCAGAACCAGAACTAGAATTCAAACTTCCTAAATCTGATAACCAGAAGATTTCCCACTGGGGTTTGTTGCTACATATATCCTCATTAATAATATGAAGAAAATATTCCACCATTAGAAGTCACAGAATTTAAGAACCAGAAAAAAAACAATCTTAGAGCTTAATTAGTCAAGCACATCTTATTAAACATTAAACCTGTGGGGCCAGTCAGGTGGCAGTGATTAAGGCGACTGGATTCTGCACAGCCTACTGCGCAGTTGGTGTCTGCATCTACTGGCTTGGAAAACACACCTGGTGTGTGTACATGTGTGCCCAAAATCACAAGAAGAGAGAGGAGAAGATGGGATTGCAACAGCTATTCCTCTTGAAGTGAGGAGGGGTTCGTTCTCTCTCTCTCTCTCTCTCTCTCTCTCCCCTTCCCTCCCCCCTCCCTTCCCTCCTCCTTCCCTCTCCCACCAGTAAATACATATGTCCTATAGCAAATTAAAAAATAATAATAATTAAAGCTGTGGTCCAGAGAGAGGATCAGATTTGTCCAGAGCTATGACACAATTTTGTGAGTGCATAGGAAGTTAAGATTAGCATTATAGAATAGGAAAGGAGTTGGATGGGGAGAAAGGAGTTGGATGGGGAGAAGAGTTGGGGTAATTTAAGTATAGTCTTGACTCATTTCCCTTGTCAATCATTGCCAAGGACTGAGGGAAGAACCCCCCGGTCCTCCTGAAAAGGGTTTCTGTTTGATCCCACAGCAATCCATCAATGAAGCCATAAGGACATCGACCCTCCCCCGAAACAGTGGGGCAGGAGCCAGCGGCAGCGGCAGTGGAGAGAATGGCCGGGTGGTCAGCCATGACTTCCCCAAGTCCATGCAATCAATTCCCTGCATGAGCCACAGTTCAGGGATGCCCTTGGGAGCCACAGGATTGTAACTGGAGCAGATGGAGACCCCTTGGGGAATAGGCTCGGGCTCCCCCAGCCCCAACCCAAACCCTTCAGTGCCAAAAACAACAAAATGAAACGCAACCACCACGAACCACCACGACCACAAGGAGGATGACTCAACAGGTTTACCTGAAGAATTGAAAAACCACTTTGCGATCCGCCCTTTCCCTTTTTGATGTTCTTTTATTTCTCTCCTTGGGCTATATGAGAATGATAAATAACAGTGTACTGCAATAAGGGGAGAGTTACCCTGACTGATGAAGGTGGTATCTCTGGAAATTGAGTCACTAGAACACTAATGAGGAAACTGGACTGTTTTCTTTTAATTCAGTTGTTAATGTGTCTTAGTGTGTGCGAATTCTTTTCTTACTAATATCCATGGTTCACAGATTCTGTTAGGCCCCTTCCTTCTCTTTCTTATTCCTAACTCTCTACTTACCCCTCTTCAGTCTTCAATTGAAGATTCAAGATTCATTCCACCTTATAAGCAAGCAAAAGGAAAAAAGCAACCTTCAAACTAATTTGCCATGGGGGTTCTCCAGATTACCCTCCTCTCCTTGGCTCCAAGTCTTGGATGGAAATAGACATTGCTGTAGAAGTGGGCCACCTTTCCCCAGTGGGGCGCTGTCGAAGCACGGGTTTAGTCAAGAACACATGTGAAAAGAAACTCAGAATGAGGGTGGTGGAGAAGGCAGAGGAAGATGTGAGGTCAGAGACTCATGAAGATACTGCTGCTCAGGAAAAGCTTCCTTTAATGTGTGTGAGTCACGCCATAGGCAATAGGTGGTATGGTATATTTCTTCACAGAAACAACCTCAGCTCTGAGAAGTACATCCTCCTGCTGGGCTCAGGCTCAAAGGCACTCTGGTGGTTGAAGGGCATTTGGCCTCCTGAACCAAGTACAGCCGTAGGAAGACCTGGAAGCCAGGAAAATATCACCCATGCTCACGTTTCCTTTCCTTGACATTTGAGCAGGAACCCCATTGTGGAGTAGACTCTCTTTCTCTGTGGAGCCTCTGATATGGGGCAAACAATTGGTGAGCTAAGTGCAAAAGAAAGGTGATGGAAGAATTTTGAAAGAGGAAGCCTTGTAAAAGCCCACATGCAATAGAGCTTTCCATAGTATACCCTGTCCTAGGTTTAAGAGACCAAATATGAAGTTTAGGTAATTCTGATGACAGAGAACTTGAGCTTTTTTGTTCGTATAGAATATCATCTTAGCATGTGGCCAGATGATGTTCTATCATCTTTAGAAAGCAAGATACCCAAGGCTAAATTATTTGAAAAAGGATAGGAAGATTAATTTAGTAACAATGACATTGGTAGACCTTAAGGTCACTGACCCCAACTTCTAACCCAAGGAGACTGACCTTCCTCCTGGTTGATATAAAAAGAGGACATTGTATCCCAATGACCAGGATAAATACATCCATGATTGTGTCTAAAGAGCTAAACTAAAGCAAGATTGGAGAAGTGACACTGATTGTGGAAAGAAGCCAAGGCTGGCTGCAACTTTGGTTGGAAGTGGGAGTCCCTGGCACACAACTTTCTTGGAGATAACAACTCTCATTCTTGGTGCAATTGGCTTCCAGATCTCCAGCAGCCACTCTCCTAGGTGCATGATTCAGTGTGTGCCATGTGTCATTAGCTTTTACTGATAACCACATTCTGGCTTGTTCCCTTAACCCCAACTTCTATTTGGTCTGCTCTGCTAGGGGTTATCATTAGCAATTGACAAGCTAAAGGTTTTGGAGCCTACCTAGGATTAAGTGTAGCATGATTGGTTTCATCTGTGGATTCTCTCAGTGGACACTCACCACCTCTATGTTTCTCCCATTCAACTCTCATCAGCCACAGTTAAGAACCATTCTAAAACAAGTCTTCATCCTTTCAACTCAAGTGTTGTTCAGTCTCCCTTGTGTCAACGTGGGCACAGTACATGAAGTAGGACCCTCAAAACGGATATCACTTTTCAGTACTTCCAGCTGGAGTCCCCCTATCCTTGCTCTCACACAATATTTTTCTCAGTCCTTAGCATACCACTGCAGAATCTGATGTGACTTGCCATTAGGGAGCCTGCATTTTGGAAGAGTTGGAAATAACCCTCCATCGTCAACATGCTTCAAAGACCTTTTGCCTTTGGCCTGGTAAGATGCCTCTCCAACAACTGAGCCCACCAGTAACATGATCTGATGGGGAGAGACTGTCTATACTGGAAATGGAAATCTGTGTTATGGGGGGGGCGGGGTCCAAGACTCCATCCAAAGATGCTTTTCATCAATGAAGGGTGAAGGGAAAACAAAAGCAAGAAAAAAGTTAACTTGTATTATGTATTTTTACTACACTTTTCTTAAAAATAGAGCATTGGGAAAACTCTGAAAGAGATTGACATTTTTCTCAACAGGAATCCATACTTAACAGTTCTGGCTTTCATTAAATTTTGCTCTTTGGTACCTGGGCCTTTTATTTAACATCTATATTTGTTTTAACTCTCTTGGCAGATGTGTGAAAGGATTCTTGCTTAATCAAACACTAAATATTTTTGGTTCCTGTTTTTCTTTCAAATAGCCAGGATATTTTTTTCTTTTGGTATTTGCATAAAATGAAAATATCACCAAGAATTAAATCACTGTGGATCCATTATCTACTTTTCATATTTGTCCATTCCATTTTTTATTTTTTGCCATTTCTGAAGCTGGAGCTCTAAGATTATTTCCTAATTGCTGAGCCTAAGATCAGTAACTTTTTACTGGTGACCTCTGTGCCTAATTCACAAACAGCTCTCAAGTCGTTTCAGTTAAAATAGAACATTGTCAGTTATTGATCCAAATAGGATAGGGGGAAAAAAGTGATTATTTTACTTTCAGGGGCCAAGTTTCAATGCAGAGAGAGCAGGATTTAACTCATAGCCATCATAGTCCTACAGGGAAACTAAATGACTCACAGAAAATGTTTCCCAGACATCCCCAAACTGGAGTCCAGATATATCTTTGATGTGCACAAACTCATAAGCCAAAACCAGATCTAGACTGGGCTTACAAGTAGATACTCTTAGTTATCAGACCCTGTTCATGATTCTCATTCATACCTGAAAGCTTTCTTTCCCTCAAGCAAGATGGACTTTCTGTACAGGATATGACACTTGTTGACATTTAGATATTGATGATTAAAAGCATCTTCAATTATTTTCTTTCCCAAAGAATTTTGCATATTAACTTGGCTCAGAGGTCTAAAATAAATGAATAAAGAAGCTCTATCAATTATATTGCAGATACAACTACTATGGTAGAAAGGGGTTAGGAGAAGGGAGAGAAACTAGTGGGCATGTGCAGAGCTTCAGTTATTGTCTGTCCCCACCTGCAGTCACCTGGCAGCGTCTAGAGTGCCCTTGGGTAAAGAAATGCTGAATACGAGCTGACACTGAGCTGTCATTTACTATCAGATAGTTTGGATAATTATCAAAATGGCATAATAGCACAGGCTACCACGTACTGAGCATTACTATGTTAAGCATATTTCATGTCTTCTATCACGACTATTGCCCTCAAATAGAGCCTTAAAGATAAAGAACCTGAGGCTTAAAGAAATTACATAACTTGCTCACAATTGTGGAAGAGACAGAGCAATGATTTAAACTAAGTCTGCCTGAATTCATACCTTTACATCCCTGATTATCTTACTGTTATCCAAGTCATGACAAACTATGTCCAGGAAAATAGCAGGTGAGCAGTTCTCTACCTATTTGTTATGCTAAAGTAACTGAAAGTTGAATGGTTAAAGCTACCCCTGCCACTGCTTGGTGAAAGCTCGTCTATCTTCTTGGGGTATGGACAGATCACTAATCCAGACAGACTGGCAAAAAGAGGAAAGGGAG